TCTCTCCAAACCTCGAAACATAAAATTGTATTTTCTTGTGCTGGACCTTACGGTCAAACTTTGACGTATTTTGTATCACCTAACAGGTATCGCTTCCGCCAGCCGGAATAGAACCCATGCCATCTCGCATGCGAGTGGCGTCGCGTCGTTGCGATAACGCTTGTTTGCCCGAGAATTGATCGACGCGCAAGCGCCCGACTATCTGTCGGCTGAATCAGCGAAGCAAGGCGAGTCGGATGTGATGTGGGATCCGACCTGGAACGAGGCGCAAAAGCCTACGAGCTAGTCTCTCGGTACCACAAATGAACGTCCTCATAATCCTTGTTGATCTCATCTAGAATGCAGGAAGGAATCTCGACTCTATAATATACAGAATGTCATGAGTCATGAGATTCGAATTCGTGGATGATTGCCCCTTCTATTTGGAAAGCTTTTTCCCGAGGGAGCAGTTCTCACCTCTCTGTTGAGCTATGACAGGGGATTCCACATACCTGGACATTTTCTGGACGGACATCAGAGCTGAAAGCGGACGGGAACCCGGAACTTCGAACAAGCAAATCCCGCGACAAATCGAAAGCGCGAGATGATAGGAGAAACCCGATTCGTCGCTCTATCTGCAAACACGTCGAAGTTACTTGCGGGAGAAAGACCCGCTCAGTGGGAGGATACCTGGAGACCTGGAGACCTGGCTGTACTCAGAACTCATCACGAGCCTCTCTAGAAGCGGACATATCCCGGACCTTCCGGACATGGACAAAAAAAATGAGGAAACCGGACAAAAAGACGGAAAAGGCAGTGTCCGGGTAACTGGACCCTCTAGTCATGATGGAAGAGCGTCGTGACGATTCGCTTAGAATGCTCCAACTTTGTTCCGGTGGCCAATGAGTGTCAGAGGTGGGAACTTGAAGGCGATCCTGAAGGCGAAAAACCGAGGGGTCGCATCGCGAGATGGGTCAATAATTTCAACGATTAGGGTTGCGAGGTCTAGTACTTCCCTTGGAAGCAAATGCAGCGGCCTTCTGCCGCATCGAATGAAACTGCGCTCTTGATTCAAAATGCATGTACAATTCGATGGCGCTCCGAATGGCGTACCCCGGAGAACCTGCAACGCCACCGCAATGAGAACGGTTATGATGCGCCACGGCAGCCTCCCGTATGCTCTTCCAACCACAAGGGGAATCAGGATACAAGCTGATGAACATCTTCAGATCCCGGATGAGTCTCTTGGCCGAAGCGTTCAACTATTGATGATAAGGACTGCCAGCTTCTACGGGCAACCCCGTTGTCTTTGCTCTTTCCTTCAGCTCTTGGCTCCCAAACACTCTAGTCAGACAATAGGTAATTAAATTCTGTTTTTCTATTATGAACTGTTTTTATGTACATCTCATGATCTGAGCCTTTTTCTTTCCCATCAATATTACACAGCTATTCAGCTTAATTCATCCAGTGACACCCACGATCAAGAATCGCCGGTCTATTCTAGCTCTCT